AAAAGTGGGAAAACGTAATGGGGTATAGGTTTATATATGAAGGGGAATATGGGCTGGGGTATTGGGCTTCATGCAAATTCGGTTTGGAACTTCGGTTTTCGGTTTTAAGAAGCCCAAAATCAAAACCGATCCGCAGTCCGTATTTTTAAAAACCCCAAATCGATCCAAATCAAATTTCCAAAATAACTGACCCGAATTGTTAATTTGGTTTTGATATGTTCGGTTTGCGGATTTAATCCCTATCACTTTCACCCCTAGGGTGGCTGCACTAGGGTGGTTTTTTTTTTATCACTAGTAATTAATTAAATAACCTAAAAGAGAGCCAATAAGAGAAAGTCACGTGGCATAATCAACCTTAATGATTAAATTTTGGCACTTGATGACAATTTTGTGAAACTCGGATGTAACACCCCAATAATTATCTCTTAAAACCTGTAAATACCCTGAACAAAATCCAAGAGAATTACTGGCGTGCTACCGCCACGTGTTCAAACGTTAAGGCTATATCATAAATTAGCAGCGGAAAAAATAATTCAGTTATAAATAAGTTTCAAAACCAATAAACAAAACCAAATTAAATCTTACAACTTGGAACCATTAAGTCTCTTATTCAAAACCCAACTTAGTTAAAATAGTATGAAAGTAAAGTTGAGTTTAAACAAATTCAAACTTATGAAAAGAAATAAACTACGAATAATAACCAACTCTCCACTCAAAATCCCACAACCCTGATGCGAATGCTGCGTGTATAAGAACCTGTGGTTAATCTGCTCCCCAATATTACAAGTGTAAAAATTGGATCGTCACAGGGTCATTGAAAGGCGAAGGCCATGACCAAAGAAAGACACATACAAAAGCACGCAATCAGCAAAGCTGAGTACATACAAGTTACAAAACATAAAAGAAATCCCTAACACGCTACTAATAGTCAATCATCACGCATCATTAGTTTATAAACTCGACACATGACTCAACTATCAAATTTATTAAGACTTCACTAGTTAATATTAACTAACTCATTTATTTATTTCATTGGATTTAGCAATAGACAAGGTTGTCCAACCCATGTCCCATTTGGAACATCAATAAAAGAAAAACCCCATGCCTCCTTTCGGAAACATCAATAAACATCCAACGACCACGGGCGCGACTCCGTGACCGTAGTTAGTATGAGATCTCACCTAACTCCTAGTTTTTAAAAAAATATTTGAAATAGGAGACTCGTAGATCAGACGGCCTCGATAAAAGTACACGACTAATACCCCGTGTACCCCAACCCCTGATTGTCATTACTCCAGAAGTGCAGCAATCCAGAGTTTTATTGCTCATCCATCTTGCACTTTACGTGATTTACAGGTTTAGACTTGGTGATGACTCATATTCATAACAATACAAACATTCTAAACACAATTCAATCAAACAAGACAAGTTTCCAATTTCAATTCTTGATTTATTAGTGACAAACAACACTTATTATTTATTCCTTTACTACCTCGATGTATTAACACCTTGAGTGCATAAGGCACCCCAAAACCTTAACCTCGTCTTATAAGACTTGAATTCTTCCTTTACTCATCCTGTTTGCATAATCATGAATGAGCAATAAATTAATCTTTACACCAATCACATACCTTTGCCTCTAAGTGCACCTTGCATAATTAGAGCACAAATAATACTTGCAATATAAAATAGTGCACATCATATGAAATTCACAATGTATAACTAAACAATTTAACCCAGTCATCCTTATACATGATACTAAGTTCTCGATCCGTCCTTAAACATGCACCTAAAAGAAAGGTTTCGTAACTTGTACGTACCTTGAATAAACGAATTGGTATGCCACTTTACTATATAGAAATCACCTTCAATAAACTCCTCTCCTAAACCAAACAATAACATCTCAATCAATACCTAATCAATCAAATTTACAGCAATACTAACTTACTTTAAACCTTCAAAATCCAAATCAAACAACACTTTAAAACCTTCCCTTTAGTTAAAATTAAAGGCTTATATATAGTTCTTTAAATTTTCTTCATAAAAACCTTAAAATACACTCTTATACATGAAATTACAGCAAGTTTAAAGTTTAATAAAAATCTTTAAATTATTTAAAAACCCCTAATAATCTCCCTTTTTAATGGGTGATTAAACCCTCTTTATAAAACATCAAAAGTAGTACTTAGAAACTATTTCTAGCACTTAAAACTTCAATAAAAACATATATTTATGCTTAATTAACTTTAAACATAATTAATTTTATCAATCAAACTCAAGGATAATATTTTAATTATAAAAAAACTTCTTTAAAATAAAAAACTGCCCGAAAATCATAATTAGAGGCTGAATTTAGCCACGAGAGGGTTCAGAACCTTTTTTGTCAAAATCGGATGGAAAATAAAAACTTATTAAAACGTTGTTTCCACATGGAAAACACTACTTTTTTGTCAAAATCGGATGAGTTCAGAACCTGATCGGGATTAAAACGGGATTAATATTAACGAACGTAAATTTAAAAATTAAAACACGAATTTACATGTTCAAAATAATCTGGAATTAAATTAAACTAATCATTAGTTATAATCACCAAAATTTCAAAACATCATTACTATAAAAGCCCTAAATCAATTGTTCATAAAAACCCTATAATCATGATTTTCAATAATTAAAAACCCTAGGTTATAAAATTTACAAAATCTGAAAATTATGACATTATAAAATCTGAAATTATAAAGTTTAATCATCAAAATACAACTTGATACTAATTAAATTACTTTCAAACAATAAATCAAAATCCATAAATCAATAATTATAATTATACAAATTAATAAAACAAAGGAGAGAGAAAATAAGACTAACCTTTTTGTGTGGGAAATTTTTGGGGATTAATGGGGTATTTATGGGAGAGAATGTTATAGGGTAAGTAAGAAAATTGGGCCTCATAAAATTAATGGGCCAATTAGGTAAATGAAATGGACTAGGCTTTGTTTGTATGATCATGAATTGTAGAACATAGGTTCATAAAATAGTTTGTGCTAAAATAATTTTCGACCAATATTAATAATTTGAAACTTTTGTAATTAAATTTCGGAAAAGTAAAATAAATATTATAAATAAAATAAAATTTCATTTATAAAATATTTATAAATACGGGGGATTACATCGGAATATACGATGCATTTAAAATTTTTAATGGGTATATAATAAATAAACGAATAACTAAGGCTTGTTTGACATCATTTTTGGTTTTTAGTTTCCTGTTTTTTTAAAAACTAAAAACTAAAAATAGGAAACAAGAAAAGGTGTTTCCACTTTTTTGTTGTCAGTTTTCAAAATTATTATGATTCTAATAAGTTTAAATAATTTTTGATTCATTATGTGATATATGTCATATCTATATATCTATACTAAAAGCAAATGAGTAATGACACTTGTCACTACGTTATGAATAATTTTCCCACCTTTTTATTTTTCCTTTTTTCTTCTCCTATCTTTTTATTTAAGGAAATTAAGGAAAACAATTGGAAGGTGGAACATACTAAGTTAATAACATACAATATAAGTAATATAAATAAGTCAACCATACCATTTACAAATCTGTACAAAATATTAAATATGTTAAATTAAAGTTTGACAAAAATTGTGTTATACTAAACATTTTGTATACTACATCAATACTAGCTAAATATAACTTTGTCTTTACATATAAAATAATTAATAGTTTCATAGATCAAATTAGGAAAAAAAGGCATTGGATATAGCTCAATATAGGGCTAATATAGCTAATCTATGTATGCATTTTTTTAAATAATTATTGATATTAATTAAATCATTTCAATAAGTATTAGAAAATTTTAATTGTGTAACATATTATGAGATAATAGAGGAAATATTAAAGAGACATATGTATCTTTCAAAAAAAAAAAAAGTAGACATGTGTAAATAAGTCTTTGTTCATATAGCTGTCATACATACATTTTCTAGCTTTTTATTAAGGAATAAGTAAACTGTGAGGGAGTGCAATTTAAATTTTATTGTTGTAAAAACCGGTGAAAAGCAGGAAGTTATGAACCCAGAAGGATATGCATACAAAATTAACATTAGAATCTTCATTTATGTTGTAGAGGCAGTTGGAAAGATTTTTTTATCCATGGTTTTGATTTAAAATTTTATGAAGTAGGTAATGATTTCATTTTTCTTGAATGTATTCAACTAATACATCTTTCAAGATGGTATCCATAAAAAATATAAATAAATAATAAAAAATTGGTAAAGACATAGATTAACTTAGCCGAATTTAAGATGATAAAAAAAACCAAAGGGAATGAAATAGTGATACAATGTGAATGCTCCAATAAAGTCTAAAATATCGCGTGTTTGAACTTATCTATTTAAATATGTCTAAAACCGAGTAATTTTATATATTGAACTATTGCTTTACTTTTATTTTATTTTTAATTTAATTTGATACATATAACTAATTTTTTTTTATAAAAAAAACTAATTTAAAATGATTTTTTTAAAATTTATTACCGTGCATGGCACGAGACTTAAAACTAGTACTTTTATACAATAAAATTCCAAAAAACATAAAACCACAGCAACGCCAAACGAACACTAAACGGTATACGGTGAAAAACCATTATTACCGAAACTACAAAAATTGTTACTCGGTACATCTTAATTTTCAAGGATACCCACCCGATTTACTAGAACGAATACAAAATTGTAATATCTTAATGATTATTGAATTTAATTAGATCTTATATAAGCAAAACGCTGTAAGCAAGAATGAGTAGAGAGAAAGATATGCATTACTGGATTCGAGCTTCTTCTGCTGATTTTGCAGGCACTCTCCCTCATGCCCGAAGGTACATTCTTATTCATTTTTCATCAAATTAAACAACAACTTTGAATTCTCTCTTTTTGTTTTGTTTTGGCATTTCAATTAATGGATTCTGGATTTTGGGTTGTTGAATATGATCAGTGGGCATAGTGCTGTGAATATTGGGAAATCGAAAGTCGTGATTTTTGGAGGTTTGGTTGATAAACGCTTCCTCAATGATATCACTGTCTATGACGCTGGTACTTTCTTTTTCTCTTTGCTTTTGATTGCTACAACAAATTTTTATACTGTTATTGGGTGTTATTTTTTTTAATACATGCTGTAAGTTTGGGATTTAGTCCGTGGTATTGTAATCAGATGCTTGTTTTCTTCAATGATTATGCAAATTTTGTGAGAATTTTGTTACGACTGACTTTTTATTTAATGTGGCCAATTAGAGTAGGATGGAGGGTGTATTATTATTACTAAAGATCTGACCTTAGGATTATAAGTTAAATACGGAGCTTGAGTAATCGATTTTTTTATGCTAGCAATAATCCTAAGGTTAGATCTGTAGCCCCAAGCGCGCCTTTTCAAAAATTGGGGAAGAGATTCGATGAGCATGTTTTTTGTCGAAACTGATTGCTATCCAATGGTATGTTAAGGTTTTGAGAATTAATTATGAACATTTACGATATATAAAGATTAGTGGTGTTAAGTTGAGGATAGTAAAAGAGAAAAGAGATGGGATATCGGGATATTTGAAAAAGTTATGTTTGTCTTGCTTATTAAATTAGTATTATGATGTTGAAGTCTTTGGAAGCTTCTAATGATCTTGGGTTGGTAATGAGAGTGCTCCATACGTAGCTATCGTAGCCCATAGGCCTATGGTTGAGCTTGAAGGCAAAGGGTAGTGAACAGGTTTAACGTGGGTTTAATATTTTCTTGCTAAACTCAACAATTTTGGGTTTTATGTTGCAAGGTGTGGGTGTTTATATGTCCTTGCTTATATAGATAGCCTACATGTTGTCATTGATAAATAAAAGTTAAAGAGTCGAAAGTATCAGCTCTCACAATTAGTAACCGCTCTACTTTCTAGTTAGCAATCAGAATTGAAGCCTAATGTAAAATTCAAATGAGGTGATTGGAATTGGAACTTTTGAAGTGGAAGCTTTTGTTTTTTGGCCTTCATTTGGTTCATGTCTGATATTGATTGGGGCTTTATTTCGATGTCCAGTTGGTAAGTAGGTCATTTGCAGTTGTGTTGATAATAATGCCAAACATTGCTAAGCAGCCTAAACATTAAACTAACCTACTCAGCTGTGTAATTATGTGGGTCAAAAAATTCTCTATCAACTGCCATGTGCCAAGCCAAAGTGCTGTGAGTTTGTTATTTTAGTGCTTTGAAATCACCATAGTATCTATATAGTTCAGTTAAAAGAAAAATGTATTGATACAATTCAAAATATCAGTCATGCGTAAGAAAAAAATCAACCCAAATTTTTAGTCATATATAGGTAATTAACTAAACACTGATAATTTCTACAGTAATCAGCAAATTTCACGATATGGTTCTAATCATATAGTTGTATTAAGTCATATTATTCCCAGCAATAATTATGGAAAACATTTACATGCTCTGAAAATATGCAAGCAACACTCTCACTTTCATTAGAACATTTTACGTGAATTTAAGCTCATAAGCTACATTTTGCATTGTATTGTTCAATTTGGTTTGGACATAATATTCGTACGAGTTCTAATTTGTTGCCTTTCACTATCCAAATGAAGCTGCATTCAATTTTGAACATCCCAGCAGTGACCCTATTCTGTCCTCATGGTTGTTATGTTGATGTCTCGAATTGGTAGTGAAATGGTTCAAAGCATTGGATTTCCATAGCATTAATTTACAAATAAGTGATATTTCTGTCTTGTAGTCAGCACTCACCAGCAAGAATGGAATCCTTGTTTTGAAATCAATATATTGCATTATACTATTAATAAGTTGATTTCAATTAGAGGGGAAAGCTTGAGTTTTTGGTGCCGTTGAATCTACAAACCCGGATGTGTTTCCGATTTTCCTTAATATTACCCACCAAGACCATAGGTTTCTCTGCTGATATGTTGATCTTGGTTGCATTTTATCTTCCAAGTTTTCACCTTTACGAAGATGTTTTCGTGCATTAATAAACTTATCTAAGGCATCTAGCAAGAAAAGGCCGTACTTCATTCCTAGTAAACTGTAGCTCTTCCGGATTTATGAGCATTAAAGTAAACTTTTTGTATAGATATGATGCTCCAAAGAATAGGTGTTTTCATGCTCAGGTTCGCACTACATGACTCCACAATGAAATTTCCATTGAAGGAGTAAAGTAACATAAAAAAGAATTGTGTCCTAAGAGGGTCCACTCCAATGTTCACCTCTTAAACGCTTATTTACCTTCTTGGCCATTGAGGAAGAGCCATTCTCTTTCCAATAAGATTTGTGAATGCACATTTGTATAATTACTCGGGTGACGTAAATGTTCCCTTTAGAGATTAAACTGAGTGAAAATGATGCTCGTTTAAGCTATCAAGACAAATGTGTTAGCATAAAAAATATGTCAAAGTGCTTAATTTACCCCCTTTCTTCTATCCTTTCTTTCTCTAACTTTCCTCTTTTGCATCATTTGGAAATTCCCTTTGACACTTCTAGTGATCATCCATGGTCATTAATTACAACTTCGTATTGTTTTTTGTTGGACAATAACGTGTGATCGTGACCTTAAATTAATGATGAAACACTTCACCATTCTATTGCAATCACCTTTAGATTTGATTCCCTAGCTAGGATAATCAATTGTGTTATTCCTTTGCCTTTGGAAAGACTTTAGTTCTTCTCCCTTCGTTGAAGTAGTTTAGTGTGAATTATTTGTGAGTACACTTAGTTGTTTTTGATGTTGCTTGCTAGGACACAAAGGATGTTGCAATTCTAATGAGGTAGCAATAATAAAGTTAAGATGAGTTTAGTAGAGATGCTTATGTTGACATCAATGATGGATGTGTGGATCCTCAAGCATCATCAAGGAGTTGGATTATCAAAATCAACAGCACTACCACTACAATCAACAGTTCTATCAACATCATCATCAATAAGTAAAGAAGACGAATGAAGTACCTTCAGCCATTGATTGAAGTCACCTTGATGCTGTTCACGCTCTTCAGGGGTAACTTCCTTCACCGGAATCTCATTCTCCACCATTGAATCCAACCAGCTTTCCACTGAAATATCTTCCGAAGCCATGCTCTGTTCTACCCTTTTGGTGAAATTTCTCGTTCTGGGTCTTGAATCTTGCTTCGATTTCTACTTCTTTTTGGATTTTGAGCTTGAATTCTTTCTTCCCTTCCCCTTCTTTTTCTTCGCCATTAAAATCGAGCTCAAAATCAAAGAACAAAAACGTGGGTTTCAAGCTATGGAAGACTTTCTCTCTCTAGACTATCATGTAATTCACTTTAATTTGATTCAATTAGCTTTGTTGAATGCACGGAATCTCAATTTTCTCTTGCATTAATTGAGTGATGGGAAGAGATTGAAAGGTTCAGCTAAAAGTTGCCTTAAAATCATGCATAATCTTTAAATTCAAGGTGTTGGTACAATGTGATAGCTACATGGAGGAAGTATATTTTAAAATGTGGAATTTGGCATACTAGCATTCTTTTTATTTTTATTTATTTATTTTATCTGTACATGAGGCTTCTGTTATCATCTTATAAGGAATATTAGAATCTGCTGTTCTTGTTCTATTTTGACATTGTCTTTTCACTGATTCAGAGAAAAAGCTGTGGTTTCAGCCTGAGTGCACTGGTGGTGGTTCTGATGGACAGGTTGGTCCAAGCCCCAGGGCATTTCATGTAGCTGTTGCTATCGACTGCCATATGTTTATATTTGGTGGACGTTCGGGTGCCAAAAGGTTTGTGCACTTTGTTTTGTGTTTCTAGCCCGGGTTTTTCTTTATTCTTCTAACTGTTGAACATTTATATTTCAGGCTTGGTGACTTTTGGGTACTGGACACAGGTAATGTCTATATAATCATTCTAGGATTCTTTGTTTGCATTAGTTATGTGACAACAGAGTTTGTATTCACTTTTTAAATTTTGTACTTCCTAAACATTTCCTAATGAAACTATTTAATTCAATCAGATATATGGCAATGGTCAGAATTGTCAGGTTTTGGTGACTTACCTCCGGCTCGAGATTTTGCTGCTGCTGCACCTATTGGAAATCAGAAGATTGTCATGTGCGTTTTAATATTTTGTTGATGTCCATTTGCCAATTAAGTGATGCCATTTTATCCTGCCTTATTGTAGGTGTGGTGGTTGGGATGGTAAAAAGTGGCTGTCAGACGTGTATGTTTTGGACACAAGTAATTCACTTTTCTGTGGCAATGGTTTTCCTCCCCAACATCTTTGGCTTGAGCTAATTTGTCAATATTTTTGTTGATGTTGGCATTATTGTGTTGTGTCACATGAACAGTATCTCTTGAGTGGACAGAGCTGTCAATCTCGGGAACAGTGCCTCCTGCTAGATGTGGTCATTCAGCAACGATGGTTGAGAAACGACTATTAGTTTACGGGGGAAGAGGTAACATCCATTATTCTCTTCATTTGCCTATGATATATACTCTCTTCTCAGGACTTCCTGTCTTTGAATAAGGTGAGAAAAAAAAAAAAAAAATTGCATGCCTGAGCAGACTAATATTTGTTCTTCTGAAGTTGTTGTAAACAAATAATAAAAAAAGGCAACCAATAAAATTTCAATATCAATTGTGATGTTAGGGTCTTAGGAGATCTTTTCTCGAAGATTTTAGTTTGTATTTATTTAAAGATTGTGTATTTTTCTATGAGGATTTTGTCCCTTGGCTTTATTCCTAAATCCTAATCACCGACCCTAAAAAACTTCATTCTTTTTTTAAATTATAATTGTTTTGTAGATTTATTTTTTTTGTGTGGAGATTGAGCCTTTTTAGTTCTCTTATTTTGCTATGAGGTTTATGCTATTGAATTGTGGTTCAGTGAAGGCTTGCAATTATGTTACCGCACGTGTACTAACGATTAGGTAGTACATTGAGTCACTTCCAAATTGTGATTCAAATTGAACTTCTCTTTTCCTTGCTAACACTTAATGTTGGTATTTGCAATGCTTTAAAAAGTACCTGATTGGGTGAGCAAACCAATAAGAAAAAAGAAAAAAAAAAGAAAGATAAGAAAAGAAAAGAAAAGCAGGGTACCTAGAATCAGAACCGAAACCGCTACAGAACTGTCGGTTCTGGAACCAAAGTCAGAGCCGGATTAGGTATCAGGTATCAGGTCAAAAGAGGTTCCAATACTCTAGGTACCATAACGGATAAAAATAGTATATGCCCTAATCATAAAACAGTGAAAGCCCAACTTTCGCGTACCTGGAATCATAATTGATTTTTTTTTTTTCTTCCCAAAGTGAACAAATAAATAAGTAAATTTGCAGCGATTCAATAAGTCTTTTAAGTATTCCGGTTTCAATTTTGTCTAATGCAGCCGTTCCCTTGACAGTCTCATCACTATATCTATCTCAGTTTCTTTAAGGTCCCACTCTGACAATCCCTATCAATGATGCTTGTTGGAACATAATAAATGAATCAATAAAGAAAATCTTAGGACAAAAGTCAAAAAATTATCCTACTACCATATATTTATAGTACATTTGTCTTTTGTTCTTTAAAGATTCTTTTTGTAATTGCGTTTTGTTGGAGTTACTTTAGAATGCCTATTTATGAACATTTTGCAGGAAGCAGCGGAATTGTGGGGGATTTTTGGGCTTTAAAGGGAATCATTGAAGAAGGTAACTTGTTGATTATTCTTTTACTTCCCCAAATTGCAAGTGTCATGTGAGTTGTATCCTTACATTGTTGCTAAGTAACTTCATAAAAGGGAATTTTATGAGGGGCCATAGAAGATAATCATATTTGAGTTTGTGGGACGGATGATTAACTAATTAAGCACGCCCTCTACCTTTATAGAGGCTAGTGCATTCTATTAGCAGACTTCTACCTTAATGTTATTAATTAAAAGGAATAAGCGGTGTTCAGTAATGCTTTATGTGATTCCTTCTAGAATTAGACATTTGTTTTTCTATTGTGTGTGCCAGTCTAAAAGCAATGTTAGGTAACTTTAGTTTTATCTCTAGCATAGCTACATATACTTAAAGTCTTAAATTCATATTTTGGTACATAAGGTAGTAATAAGCCCTTAGGGTTGTTATGGAATTACTGCTGAGGCCTCAAGGGAGTCTGGTGGGATTTGGGCATAGTAAAAGAAGGAAAGAGGTAGGGCCGTTGGGGTGAAGGAGAAGCTCCCCTATGCAGTTGTGCCTTTGATGGGAATTGTACTTGGTTATGAAGTAAACAAACCTGAGTTCTTTGCATTACCCTAAGCTAAGCTTGGTATTTATATTAGCTCATGCATCTAGATTAAGGTGATTTGCGATATTTCTGTATTTTTAAGTGAAATCTGATTGGATATGAATTATCTTATTGGCATCTCATGCATTAGTGCTTTAGATAACTGCATCGCTAAATTATTCCTGCTTTATTTCTTTGTTGTGCAAGGAAGAAAATGAAACACCTGGTTGGACCCAACTGAAGCTTCCTGGTCAGGCACCTTCCTCCCGATGTGGTCATTCTGTCACATCCAGAGGGCACTACGTAAGTTCTGAGCTGGATGATTCTTTTCAATTTAATCTTGCTTTAAATTTTGAAGGGTAAAATTTAATATTTTTATTTTTTTGTTGTTGCATTCTTCTACGTAATAACATTCCAAATAGTATCTTATAACAAAGATGTTTTGCTACCTTACAATAATTACCATTGTTTTAATTTACTTTCCTTTCCCCTTTTGCCAACTATTTACCCCATCCGCTAACTATTTACCACTTTTGCTAATAATTTATCCCTTTTGCTAACCATCATTATCTATTGTTTCTCTATCAAGTATTGCTTTTAACCCTTCCCCTCTTCATGATATTATGCCCCCTAAAATCTTACAATAATCTAATTTGATGGATGAATGATGATCAATATATTAAGATGATTATTGTATTGATTGCCTACTTGCACTCTATCTCAATTTTATTTTTTATTTTTTATTTTTTATATTTATGTTTATATTTATATTTATTATTGTTGTTGTTGTTAGTGGGAAGCCGAGATATAATCTGGCCCCCACTCCTCTAGCTATAGAAAACCCGATCCTAGTAAAGATATGAGCTGCAGCACGCGCCCTAATGTCCTGAGTCATCGAAAACTTTTGGATTCGCTTCATCAATGCAACAACCTCTTTTCTATCTCCCCAAGAGAAGAGAAAGAGAGAGGAAGGAAGCCATATCCGATTGCTCGAGAATTGAATTCGTACTTGACCGCTTCTGATTGGCTGCATCAGTCACTACCCATCCATCCAGAAACAAAGTCAGAATGCCCAAACTATGTCAATGGAGAAGACCCTGTCAAGTAACACATCGCGACCACGATTCCATGAATAAAGTAACATCTGGCCCCCCGTCGTTCCCTCTAGGTAACCCAATGTCCACCTCCTTTCTAGACCAATAGCAAACATCTAACAAGGGTATCCCGAATAACATTATGCTGATGTTTAATACCCACAATACCAGCATAAGACACCGCGTGATCCCAGCAAAAGCCCTTGAACAAGTAGAGCACGACGTCGTGATAGAGAACTATGGAACATCCAACCGGTAGCACAACACACAGCGATAAGTCTTGGCATTCATCGTTTGACCCAACCTCGAAATAGGGACCGCCCGAAGCCAGAGGTGTGATCTTTGTGCTGTGATTTCCATAATGCTGATTGTCGAGGAGTTAAAGAATAAGCAGATTCTGCAGAAGTGGTAACCTTTGTGAATAATTATAATAATAATAATAATAATAATAATAATAATAATAAATATTAGCTCCGTTAATTATTATATGCAACAAAGGAATATTTTATGTCTCACAAATAATACTCCTTTGTTGCACATAATAATTAACGGAGGTAGTAATAATAATAATAATAACATACTATGTATATGTTAATCACACGATACACATCAATACATGTAGCCGGAACCTTTATATATGAAAAGCAATGATATTACCAACACATACATAGTTTTTCCACAATTTTATTTTTTTATTTTTTATTTTATTTATTTATTTTTTCTTCTTACTAATAATTTATTTTATAATTCTGAAAATTATGCAAAGTATTTTTCTGTCCAAAGTTGTATTTTTATGTATTAATTTAGACCTTGCATGATATAGGTCACTATATTGTATTAATTTTAACTTATTCAAGCACACATTTGTAGTCTTTATAATTTTTACTTTGGTTTTATTACCTTTGTCGTGGAAGTAGAGAAAAAACAAGTTTTTGTTCATTTGATTATAAAGTTGGAAAGAACTAGTAAAAGTAATTCTAAATGATTTAAAAGCAAATGAAAATGATTTAAAAATAACTTGAAATCATTTATTTAAAGTTGGAAATTACAAAAATGCTAATAATGACGCAGGGAGATCAAATTAATTTTTGGAAGCTTTTAATTAAACTAGCAGTTAATGCACGCGCCATAGCTAGCCATGTTCGGGGAGCTCTTTCACTCTGGCCCTATGCTACAACTTTAATTGTTGTAGAATTAATAATGGAAAATATGTAAACAAATATATTTAAGGTTATAAATGTCCGCACACTATTCTTTAGAGTAAAAAAAAAGAAGCAATTAACAATTTAACATTAATGAGAGCACATAAGTAAATAAGCATTTTAGAGGGTATGATTGTCCAAACACTAATCACAAGAGTTATCTCAAAATTTTCAAAAGGTAGGGTATTACAATGATGTGAGACATGGGCGAAGTGTCAACTTAGTCGACTCCTTAAGCTTTCAATTCCGTATATAGCCTTGTCTCTTGGCTTAAATGACGGAGATATCAAAATAAAACTGCTATTGCTTATAAAATGGTTAAAACTTAATCCTTAGGATCAGCTACACTCTATGTATTCTAATTTAGAGATAAGATTGAATCATGCACCTGTTTTGTATATGCTGCTTAATCTCAACAAAAACACCACATACCTTCCAACAAACAATGTGTCCTTGTGGTTACTTTGATGCTAATTCCAAATTTTTATTATGCCTTGCACTTGTCTGAAAACCAAAGTGATTATTCAGGCAGCTTTGCAAATGCTTATTATACTCATTTGCCTCTTTTATAGAAGGGAAGAAGAAAAAAATAGAAATCAAGAATGCTTTGTTTTGTTCCAAGAGTAATGGACAAATTATTACATTATTAATTGTATATATGCTACAATTATATGATAATTTTCTAAATCTCAAATGGCATACTACGTAACTTATAGTATTGGCTTATGTCTTAGTGTTTGAAATTGGTTTTGACGATTTATAGTTAAGGGAAAATATAGTCATGTGGGATCTTGTTAGATTAGTTTCGGTTTATACATTCATAATATCAAAATTTTTCTAATTTATATATATCAGCAGATACTAGTGATTAAAATGATGCATCGACAAGCGTAAAATGAGAGGTGTTGTAATTAAGAAAAAAAACAAAGGAAGTATATCACTATTCACATGGAATTCTTGCATACATTTTTTATTTGATGATGTGTCCCTTGAAATAGTTTCTTGTGTTATTTCTTTGACAAGGTTGTTAAAAGGGTATGCAATTTATTATATTTTTATCATGTTACTTTTCATTTGCTTAAACTATGAAGCTGACCGGTATGATTTGTTTGTTTGTGTTGTATCAGCTATTATTATTTGGAGGGCATGGGACGGGTGGCTGGCTTAGTCGTTATGATATTTACTACAATGACTGCATCATCCTAGACAGAGGTGAGTGCTTTGCATACTAGTAATTGTACAATCTTAGTAAAAAAAAAACAATGTTTTGAATGGCATCCATTAGTGTTTGATAGTTAAAAAAAAAAAAAAAGAAAAAAAAAGAAAAAGGATTGGGCATTTATTAGTATTCGACTTGATGATAACTAATGCTTATATTCTCTTTTCACTTGTGATGTTTTATCTATAAGTGATTAGATCATTTGGTTTATCCTCATGCTATTATGTTAAAGAGACCTTAAAGTTCATTTTGATGATCTTTTCTCTGTTAATGATGATCTTTTCTCTATCTTTGTGTGCTTCTTAATAGAAGTTTTCTTATTGATCAAAAGGGAGTATGTTGCAGTGAGGGAAGACTAGGATGTTTAATATCATAAACAAGTTTAGATAGACATTTTTTATCTTTCAAGGAAAGGTCCGGAAGCACGTATACAACGTGATGCTAAGAAATCAATCCTTTATTCAATGAAGAGACTAAATTCTAGATCAATTTCAAAAGATTTGATCATTTTTCCATCAAAAACTACTGGCATGATTAGGAAAGGAGCTTTTTAATGCTAGATGATCTTATGCATGTCGTGTCAATTGAACTCCCTTAAAGAACCATGAGGTATTCCAAAACAAATAAATACTTTCGTTGTTCTTTAATTCTCATAAATTAAAAATTTAGATAATATATACCCTTTGTTTTTATTTAGTTGCAACACACCCCTTCGGCACACATTTTAAGGAAGATATTAGACAAGGTAAACGGATAAATTAATTTACAAAATTTTACCATCTATAAGAAGAAATGGATAAGTTGCTACATTTTAAATTTCATAGCTTAATTCATTCATTTACCTAGTTTAATCACCTTCTTGAAAAGCGTGATAAAAGGTGTGTTGCAAGTATAAAAAAACAGAGGAAGTATTGTTTATTGAGACGATTCTGATAAGATACCACATGAATATGTTTTTCCTTATATAATTCACAAATGACGGAAGAATGTGAATAGTTGAAAAAGTCAAACAAGGTCAAGTATAGAACGAAGGAAGTAGTAGTTAAATAGACTCCCAACACTCATGCTGCCATTGCTAAGCTGGCAAGGCAAGAATTTTTGGTTGACTGATTTACAAGGAACAAATGCATTAAAATTTAAGTTCCCAACCTAGCATTCTACTTCATCGATACAAATGTTCCGCTCTTGGAGAACATTTGGGACCAAGAGAAAACTACCTTTGACATCTCTATATAGGATATAAGCATACTGAAGTATGTCCTTTGGTCTACGCAATGTCTCATCAATATTTCAAAGGTGCATGACATCAAATCTTCTTCGAAATGCTAAAGGAAGAAGTACTCATGGATAACTTTAGTATTGGTGGCTCGTCTTTTGATACATGTCTTGCTAATCTTGTGAGAATGCTCAAGTGACGAGTCATGTCTTAAATTGGGGGAAGTGTCATTTTATTGTCGAGGAAGACATTGTGATAGGCCATAAAGTGTCAAAAATGGGATTAAAGTTCATCCGGCCAAGGTGTCTGTAATTGCCAAGTTACCCCCACACACCTCCATCACCGGGATACGTGGCTTTTCGGGCATGTATTAAAACACGAGCCACCAACACTAAAGCCATCCATGAATACTGATAGGGAAGTAGGGTCAAATCCACGGGGAAACAAGTCTTTCTATTCCTAATTAATTATTATAATCTAAATTATTAAGTAACCAAAATATTGTAATCAGAGGATAACTAAACTACTAAGAGTAAAAGTAGGGAAGAGTAAGAATAGAGAAAATCAATGAATAAAAGACGTAGGGCATAGGTTCACCAATAAATAATATTCCAGGGTAAAACATAACAATCAATCATCAATGCATCAATTAATCAGATCATAAAGGGCTCTCGCTACTTATTACAATCACAGAATTAATCTACCGGTATTAAATCTCATCTCTCGAATCTCGACTTAACCATTTATAAATTAACCTGCCTATTGAAACTAGACCTAAACATCAATTCTCATCTCTCGAATCTCGAATTAATATTGTCAAACTCATGCATAAAAGATCGGGCCTAATCTAGTCACAGAGCATTAAATCAATTAATAGGAAATTAATCTAGCATTGACAAAACAACAATAAATTACCCCTTCATACTATTTATGGATCCCCATAAACCCTAGAAAGAAAACTAATCAGACATAATTAAATATAAACTAAACAAAGCAATTAAAGGAGACATGATGAAAGAAATAAAGTAAATAACTGTGATTAAAGTAGAAGAAATCGTTACCAAAGTAATTAGAATTAAGGAGTTGAATTAAGAACAGAGTAGAGAACAAAGTTGTAGAGAGAGAAAATAATAAAAAACTAAGTAGAGAGAGAAAGTCGTAGAGAAGAAGTACTAATCGAAAGCATTAAAATCGTATCTATACAAAAATAATTATTCCTAATTAAAACTAAGATAAATAGCCGGAATTAGCTCCTAAAAACTTTGCGCCCGATCGGGCCCGCCTTTCTTTCAATATGAGCTTCTCTCGCGCCCGGCCGCGCGCGAACTTCGGCGCGAACTAATCTTCCTCGCCTGGCCGGGCGCGCCTTCATGTGGGAGCTTACTTAGCCGGGCCCGGGCACTTGGGCAAGGTTGGACTTCGATTGGGCTCCGATTTTTCGGCCCAATCCAGATTTCCTCTTCGGGTCTTGAATACTCGGTCCAAATGCCTCGGAATCTCATATGCTTAGCACTTAATCACCGGTTCGATGACTCTAACCGGCCCTGGGCTATAAAAACTGGTCGTGCTCCTCTAATGCTCGTAGTCACTCCATAATATCTCGAGAAAATGCTCAAAAAGTGCAAATCCCTACAAAGTCAACCAAAACTACAAAAACACTAGAAAACACCAATTAGTAATAAAAGTGGCTCTAAAGAGCCAAAAACACTACCAATTATGACCAATGGACGGGGGTAAAATACTATATAAAATAGACATATCAAATACTGCCGATGTTTTCGAGCATGCTGGCTTTTACTGAAGGTTTATTAAATATTTTTCAATTACTGCAAAATCCTCGACTACACTCCTTCAAATGGTGTTGAATTTCATTTTGATGAACTTCTCTAAAGGCCTTTTAACACACTTAAAGAAGCATTTTTCATAACACCTATTGTGCAAGCTTTTGCCATTTAAACTGATGTGTGATCCTAGTGATTTTGCAGTTGGTGTTGTTCTAGGTCAATGGAAAGAGGGAAAGTTGCATTCCATTTGCTATGGTAGTTGGACTCTTGATGATGATCAACAAAATTATACTACCACTATAAAGGAAATGCTTGCAGTTGTGTTTGCAATAGAATAAATTAGATCCCATCTTACCCCATCTTACTTGCTCATAAATTAGATCCCATCTTACCCCATCTTATCCCATCTTACTTGCTCATTGCTCATTTGTTATCCAATTAGTAAGAATGATTGGCCCACGTGGCGCATTCCGATTGGTGGGAGCAAAATCCCCTAATCATTTGCCCCTCACAGGTGGCACGTGACTGGTCACGTGTTACCTGTGACAGGTATCGCCCTGTAACAGGCGGCGGCCTGCTACAGGTGTCACTCGGCGAGAGGCCGAGAGATTCTCCCGCCAAAATTTTGAATTCTGGAAGTGACCCTTCGCCTTCTCACTTCGCCTATATAAAGGAGTGTTAGACTTCGGTCATTTTCACACTTGAAAACTTTGTGAGAGAACATTCGGACCCCTGAACTTGCTCTGACATTTTGGACCCTTTCTGCCTACCGCCTGCTCTGACAAGCCGACTGCAAAGGATTTTCAGAACTTCATCAATCGTCACTCGTTCAGGTAACCGTCGGTTCTCTTACTCTTAATTTTCTCTTTACTTTATGAAATGGCACCACGGAAGCACACGACACGACCTAGGTTAGTGATCAGCCGGTCACCGGGGACGGCTGAATCTAGGACTAGGAGTGCCGCCTGCCCTTTTCTGGACCCATCTTTGCCCTTTATACAAAGTCCGACTGTATCTGTGTCTATGCACAGCATGATGGCCAGAACAAAAAAGACTGCCAGGATCTCAAACTCAGACGGCTCCTCCCATAGGGTGCCGATTAGTGAAACATCTGACCAGGCGCCAGATGTCGAAGTGAAACAAAGCGGCTTGAAAGCCGGCAGTTCTGAGGGAGGAGTCAAAGTGACCCCTTCCCATTTTACAGTTGACAATTCTACATTCTCTCCTGCTCCTTTTAAAGGAGAGGAGGCGGGCCCCTCCGGGAGAGGAGAGAAGTCGTCCTCTTCGGACTCGTCAGAGGACGATTCCGAGTCTAGCTCTTCTGGCCATGCTTCTCTGGACACAGAAGAGAAAAACAGCCGCCTACAAGAGGCGAGGCTTTCTCACGCAGTTGAGAAGGGAGACGATCGGGCGGAGCCATCCGCCTCTCACCGAGAGCAAAATACCCCCTACTACTGCACGGTACCTCGGGGCCGGATCACGGCCATGCAAGAGAAAGTGGAGAGCTTTATCGCAAACCACACAATGGGCCCCGGCTTTTTAGTGTTCGTGCCGGATCCAGAAGACACAGTCGTCTGGCCGGCTGGTACCAGTTATGATGGCGCCTGCTTTGGCTGCTACGAGGCGGCCATCAAGGCTGGGCTGCGCTTCCCACTACATCCGGCTGTTCAGCGGATCTTGGATGGGTATGAGTTGGGGTTATGGCAGTTAGTCCCGAACTCCTGGGTCAACGTACTCGGCTATGTGGCCGGGTGCGAACTGCACGGGGTGGAGCCGAACTTCGAGGCTTTCGCCCAGATGAACTACCTCAGCCGGACCCCTAAGGCAGGCGGTACCGGCTGGTATCAATTGACAAGCCACAGGGGCTACCTCATGACGAGAGGTAAAGCAAACAAATGGAAGGACTGGCGGAGCACCTTCCTTATCATTGAGAGTTCAGACACAGAGCTGAACAAGCGCTTCAACAGGTGGAACAGGGATCCGCCCCTTCTTG